CGGGGGCAGGGTGGGTATTAACATCCCCGTCCCCTGCCCCGTCCCCGATTTTATCAATCAGGGAAAAATCGAACCCGAACCCGAACTCAATAAACACAGGTTTTTCCCGTCCAAATCGGGGCGAGTACCCACGGAACAGGTTAGATTGCCATGTCTAGTTTAGATATAAAACAAAGGTACAATGTTTTATATATTTTTTTTTATAATTGCATCATCTTTTAAAATGATATGAAATATAAAATAAATTTAGTTTGTTAGATAGAAATTAACTTATTGTTGATAAAAATAAATTATCTGAGACTCTATATATTACACGAGTAAATCGACTAGGGTTCATATAAACCGAATTTAAGATCTCTACACAAGTACCTCATTCTTTTCTTCTCAATGTATTGATTGTCTTTAGGGGTGGATAGATGGATTCAAATTCATAGATCGGTTTGTAAGCCTGTGAACTTCATGAATAATGAACCCATTTTTTAAAAAAAATATGTATAATTATGTTTAATTTTTGAGTCTGATCCGTGAAATTCTCGAACTTGGTGAACTTAATATTTAGTTGTGTATTTAATCTTTTAAATTATTATGACATTAAAAATTATGTTTAATTGATATGTATTTATCATTTGAATTATTTTTATGATATTTTGATGTTTTTATTATTAAAAGTTTAATACTACTATATATATAAGTATTGATAATATTTTTTATTTTAATATTTTAATATTTTAATATTTATTATTTAAGCTTATAAATAGAAAATATTTTTCTTCTTCTAATTTTATGTATTTTTATTTTTTAAGAATATATTTTTTAATTATTATTTAAACCCATTGATTAGTCTATTTATTTGTAGATTTTGACGGGACAAATACAAATTTGAAAAATAAATCCATTTGTTTTGTAGATTAAATTTGTCCAATCCATATAAAATATGAATTTTATAGGCTAAAACTTAAATGGACCAATTTATATATCCACCCCTAATTAATATATAAGTTCTAAAGACTCTTACCATATCATGTCATTGGTAAGAAAATGTCACCATATCTTATTTAGTCTTTAAAATATGTTATATAATGTTTGTAATACTAATTTCTGAGTTATCTAATAACTTTTTTCTTGTGAAATACAAGTTTCAAGATATTATAGAAAGATTTAATATCTCATTGGAATTATTGGCAAGTGAGTGAAAGTTTAGTGATACCATTTATTTTTTCTTTTTAATTCCTTAAACCTTTTTTTATAACAAATATCGTTATTTTTTTTTCATTTTAGCATTATATATGATTAGAAAAAGTTTCAGTTAATTTATGTAGATTTTAACTAATTAATGTTTTAGTTTTTTTTTTTTGGTGTTGTAATTAATGTTTTATAGTTTTTTTTAGGTTCGTTCCTGGAGTATCCACCGCCGACAGTAGTGACTAGTCTCCTCGCTACGTTGGAGGCACCTCAAAGGGTAGGATAGCTGGCCCCAAGATTTAACGCGGCTGCATACACAAGGCAGGATTCGAACCCCTGACCTTGCTTAAGACCTTTTATTTTGGTCAAATAATTAAATTATTTTGGTTTTTGTCAGTTATAGGATTTTAAATTATATTCAAATTTGAATCCTCTCCCCTTATTAACACGTCATTGTTATAATATATATATATATATATATATATATAATTAAAAAACATAGTTTTTATTAAATATAACCTATTACAATTATATATATATATATATATATATATAATTTTTTGCTTTGATAAAAAAATAATGATAAATAACTGTTTCAAAATATTGATAGTCTATAATCTCAAATTATGTAACGGAAAATTTCTACATAATTAGTATTATGTGCTCATTATGACCTTGTAACTGTCATTTGCAATAAGTTTCTTTCAAATACAAAAATATATTCAACTATTGTCTTGTTTCACTTACGTGTAGTTTTCTTTATGCTTACTTGCTTGTAATTTTCTGTACATGTAACATGGCTGAGTGTGGTGGTGCCAACAAAAAGACAAAGCAGTCTCAAGAGGGTCAGATTCAACCACATCCAGTAAAAGAGCAATTAAACGTTGATTATTGCATGAGATGTCCTCCACCTTGGCGTGAGTATATTCTGTTCATTACTTGTAGACATTCCTTTTAGGAAAATACTAACTAGAGTCTTTAGAAATTGGCTAAGGAATAAAAAATATTATTAAAAAATGTATATGTACATTCTTTCCTATAATGTTATTGTAGATTTTAAAGAAAATTCCATAAGAATACTAGTTAGCAAGAACTTCTTTTTATGGCAAAATCTAACTGGAAACACATAACTAACGGTGTTTCCTTTGAAATATTTTGATTGAAACATAAAAATATGCTTTTCATTAACCAAAATATTCATCAAATTTACCTTGTTTGTTTCACCTTTATAAATGGATTTGTTATCGCCATGCATGCAGGTGAATCAGTGGTACTAGGATTCCAGCATTATATTATGACTCTTGGCATGACCGTTCTGATTCCAACTGTGCTTGTTCCTGAAATGGGTGGAGGCGATGTTGGCACTTTTTCCATTTTATTATTTTTTTTCTCTTTTCTTTTCCAAATCTTACAATGGTATGAATCAACTGAAACGCAGGCTGAGAAGGCCAAGGTGATACAGTGTCTATTGTTTGTTTCTGGAGCAAGTACATTTCTGCAAACCTGGTTCGGAACACGATTGCCAACAGTAGTTGTTGGTTCATTCAGTTACATAATACCCATCATGTCAATTGTGCATGCCAAGAGATACAGAACATATACTGATCCTTATGAGGTCTAGGGGAATATCTTTTATGCTTTTATTATGTTCATTCGCTTTGGTTCTACTTGGGTTGGGGATGTTCATTCCTTGTTATTATGTTGCTGATAACAGAGGTTCACTCACACAATTAGAGGGATACAAGGTGCCTTGATCGCAAGTGGATGTTTCCATGTAGTTATGGGATTCTTGGGACTTTGGAGGGGTGCTGTCAGGTTAGTAAAGTGCATGGCATGGCATGCAACTTATTTTGGCTTGTTAGAGCTTATAAAATCCTTTAATCACTTCTAGTTAATTGCTTCTTATTATGCTGCTTTAGGTTCCTTAGCCCACTTTCTGTAGTCCCTTATGTAACTTACACTGGCATCGGTCTCTATCATCTTGGATTCCCAATGGTAAGAATTTCTATTCTAGTCTCACAAATTTTCAGTGATTAGGTTACGCGCTTGAATCTTAATTCTCAAGTTTTATGCACTTTAGCTTTCTATAAGTCCATGACTTGATAATAGGATTATATGACTGACATTGCCCATACTGTTGCAGCTGACGAACTGTGTTGAAGTGGGGCTTCCAGCACTAATTGTTATGGTTTTCATCTCACAGGCAAGTGGTTAATCATGTTCATGTCTGTAGAATATGTGATAACATAAATTATTATGAACAATTAAACTTTGAATAAAGTAGGCTAGATATCAATATTTATGTGATAGTAATATAAAGTATGAAAGGTAGAGTTATAATGTGTAAAATATGAAAAGGCAAAATTTTAAATCCACTGTTTTTTATATATTTTATTTTGGGTCCATAATGTGTTAATTAACTTGTATGCTCGTGCAGTATCTTAATCCCATTATTAGCCCCAAGAGGCCAATATATGACCGATTTGCGGTTCTGTTTACCACTGCAATTGTATGGTTATTTGCACAGCTTCTGACTTCAACCGGTGTATATAATAACAAGTCAGAAAGTACTCAGAATAGTTGCCGCACTGATCGCTCAGGTCTTATTAGTGGTTCCCCGTGGTAAGATTGTGGACACATTAAGTTTTTCCCAAGTTAAACTATTCGTTTAATTTTTATAGTAGTCTTCATTTTAAGTTTTAGTGTTTATACTAGAGAACTACTGTGAGTAAAAAAGCTATATCACTTTGGGGTTTTTCATATATGTTCACAAATTGATTAAAAAAAATTGTCTACATTTATACAGGATATATCTACCTTTTATGCCCTTTCAATGGGGGAGGCCTACCTTCGACCTCGGAGAAGCTTTAGCTATGATAGCCGCTTCCTTTGTTTCTCTTTTTGAGGTAGGCACTAGGTCCCTTAATAGCTACAAATGTTTTAATCATTATGCAGCTTCACTAGCCTTTCATAAATGGAAAACTCAAAACTGAAAAAGCACTTAAAAATGCATCCAGTTTCCATCTTATGTTTGCTTCGAATTTCAACATTTTTCATGTTTACATGCAGTCCACTGGTACATTTTATGCTGCGGCAAGATATGCAAGTGGAACACCAGTGCCACCACATGTTATCAGCCGTGGAACTGGCTGGGTGGTAAGATTTACAAAGCAAAATATTTTGCAATTATTTACGGAATCATAAACAGGAAACTTAAAGTTGATGTTGTTCGTGTCATTCTTGTTGTTCTTTTAGGGAGTGGCTACTTTTCTCAGTGGCATTACTGGTTCTGTAACTGGGTGTACGGCATCAGTGTAAGTTTAGCTCAACTTTAAACCCCCTTGAATTGTATTTGTAGATGAACCTTTACAAATCACTCATGATTTCAAGTTCAACCAATCTAAGGGCATGCTTGTTTGGTTTGAAGATTCATTTCTTAGCTTTTTAAAATTTGTGCAGTTGTTATAAACATTTATTTCACAAATATTTAAAATAGAAAGTAAAATATGTTGGTAGAAAATAATAAGAAGTAAGAGAGTTTTCTATGTGTGTATAGTTCTTGGAGAAATTATTATATGGTCTCGGACTACCATAGTCCTGATCAATCTCTACTTTCTTGTAAACTAAGAACTTCGACCGTGTTATATGGAGATTGATTGTGATTATTGCCACTTGTTTGTTCTGTACTACATAATAATTTCTCCTAATTCCTGTTAGTACTTAGACATGATATCGTGAACTAAAGACATCTGCATCTTCTGCATATGCATTGCTCTTGTTTCAGAGAAAACGCTGGATTAATGGCATTGACAAGAGCGGGAAGCCGAAGAATCATCCAAATATCAGCTGGCTTTATGATTTTCTTCTCTGTATTTGGTATGATAGACTAACATCTTTGGTAATCTGTGGCCTACGTAATGTAGTTATTCTCTTTAGTGATATGATATCTCATGATGCACACTTACTTTCCCTTAAACCAGGAAAATTTGGAGCAATTTTTGCTTCCATACCTTTGCCAATCATAGCAGCACTAAACTGTGTATTCTTCGGATATGTCAGTAAGTTCTCTCTAACCACATCTCTTTGTAGCTATGCCAATCATAGAACTTGACAAGAGTTTGCTATAACTTGGGATATGCAGTTTCTGCGGGTCTTGATTTTCTCCAGTTCTGTAACCTCAACAGTTTCAGAACCAAATTCGTGTTGGGCTTCTCATTCTTCCTTGGCATCTCCATTCCACAATATTTCACAGAATACTATCATGTAAAGCATCAAGTTGGATGGGTGAGATCTCTGAACGTAAACCAATCATTGAAAATTTAATTCACAATGAGGCAGTTGCTTAGGTAGTTTTATTGTTGTTCACTCATTAAAATTAGAATTCCAAAGGTAGATCGACTTTTAAAGTCAATTATGAGTAAGTCAAAACTCTAATTTTGATTAAAAGCTAGAGTCAAAAGCATATAAAGAAGTATAATAGGAGTTATTGATGTTATTTTCCTATAAGAATTAGAGTTTTAGTTTGATAATACATATTGATATTTAATAGAATCTTTTATTATATACATATTACCGAGGTGGAACTCCATCACCAACAATATAAGTTTCGTCCAGAAAAGAATTGTACAGGTTTTGTTGAAATTTAATTGTGGCACACATGACTCTGTGAGTGATTGTCATTTCAATGAATTTGCAGCTCAATGATATGATTTGTGTGATCTTCATGTCGCACACGACGGTGGCAGCATTTGTTGCATTCGTTTTGGACATCACACTCTCACGTGATGATGAAGAAGCTCGCAAGGACTGTGGTTTGCCATGGTGGGAGAAGTTCAGTGTATATAGTGCTGATCATCGGAACGATGAGTTCTATAAATTACCATGCAAATTGAATGAGCTCTTCCCCGCCCTTTAAGCGGTTTCTTTAGTTATATACGTTTGTTTATTTCCACAAAATTTATTTGTAGTTTCCCATGACATTAATTGTATTAATTGGAATAATGATGGACAATGTGAATAATTTGTTTGTTACTATATCCTTAGTAGTAGTAGTAGTATTTGTTGAAGAAAGGTAATTTAATTAAAGAAGAAAAGAAAGTGGTCGCATCAGATCGCATGGATCAGAGGCAAGTGCTGATTTTAGATGATGGAAAATTAAAAATGGGAGAGAATAGATGAATCCAAGAGAGAGAAAAAGGATTGACCTTTTCTGTCAGAGAATATGGGATCACGTATGTAATGAATGGCAAATACCGCATTGTTTTTTAAGGGGTTCTGAGTTGTCTCTATTTGAGGTTGCAACTTGGCGAAACTAAGAAATAGGTATGATGTGTCACACTGAGCTTTCTGTAATGTCATTCTTAATACCCGATGTTATGCTGTAATGTCCCATGCCGGACAGGGACACCATCTTCCGGTACCACCTTATCATCTTCTTCAGAGATTCTTCCCTCCAATTTTGTCTCTTTCTTTTTCCCTCGGCTAATACTCAAATTTTAGGCAAGTTCAAGTTTCATACAATTTGTTTCTTCTGATTTTAATTAGATGCATATTTTATTTACGCGAGGACTTTGATCAATGTCAGCAATCTCTTACCATATGCATATGATGCAAGAAGGCCCGTGTTTTAATTTCTTGTTACTAAGCAAGAATTTCTTGAACCTTTATATACTAATAACTTCACCCGAATCGTATCTTTATCTACTAATTTAATTAATACTAACTTCACCATCACTTGTGTTTCATCATTGGCCAAGGCATTGTTTCTTTTGATATAACATTGGTTTCTAAATCTGATCCGGTTTATTGATATCAAGTTGGCATTTCGAAATGTTCCCTTGTACCCACATTGCAGAGATGATTCGTGGTGCATATGAAGGGTTGATTGCTACACCCGAAAAGTTTAACGATTTCATCGATGGTGAAGATGAAAGAGTAAGTTCAAAGTTAAGGAAGGGAGTGAGACTATGGAGAAAATTAAAATATCAGCTTGTAGAGTACAATTCACTGCCAGCGTACTTGAAAGACAATGAATTCATATTGGGTTATTATCGATCAGAGTGGCCATTGAAGCAGATCTTCCTTAGCATTTTCTCAATTCATAATGAGACACTTAATGTCTGGACGTAAGTACCTGTTTTTTTCCACTTGATGTGCCTTTTTTAGTTATGGAATTGTAAGAGTGAGTTAACGCTAATGCCATTATTTCAGGCATTTGATTGGGTTCTTCCTTTTTCTCTTTCTCACCATATACACAGCTATGAGAGCTCCAATGGTCGCGGATTTCAATTCCGTTCAACATTTGTCAGAAATGATAGGGAAAGCTGATTTGAATAAGATTCGTTTAGAGCTCTTGAAATGCGTGCCTTCACTGCCCAACATGCATGATCTTCTCAAACTAAATGACTTGACTACATCTCTTCATTCTTTGGATTTCTCCTCATTATCAGGTTGGACTTTTGTGGAACTTCTCACCAATTGCTTGCCTGAGCAGTTTTCCCTGGTAAGTCCCTCTTCCTCTTCATGGATTCCTTTCATCTCTTCTTAAGCTGATGCATTTTAAAACATCACATTTAAGTAATTTTTGAAAATGGCAATAAAGTATTGAAGGTATAACTTTTAAGATATATAGTTGACCTAAAATTCAATAAACTTATGGTGTTTCCACAATTTGTGATTGAATTAGAGTATAAAAACTTTTTATATAATCAATTGGAAATCCTTACATCACATCAACTAGTGATAAGTAATATATAAATAAGTAACTATTTTCATTTTACAAATCAGTCTTGTAAGTTTGAATTAGATTCAAACATATATTTTAAGATGATATTAGAGTTTATATTAGTTATTATCGATTGTTGTTGAACCTATTATATTACCGTTATTGAATCATCTGCAAATGACCAATTCTTAATGTTAAGATGTTGGAGATTTCACATTTGTACACCAACTATTTATTCATAAAAATCACAATGAATCATAAAGAGACAAACATATTATAATTAGAGTTAATCACTTATACACTGCTAGTGTAAAAAAAATTTACACTAGCAACCAATTAGATCTTTTAATTGTGGCATGTCACTGTTAAAAGTAAATGTGTTTATAATGACATGGCACAATTAAAAGATCTAATTAGTTACTAATGTAAAAAAAACTTTATACTGGCAGTGTATAGATGACTAACTCTTATAATTAATAACCCAAGTTAAATACGTTGTATTTAAGAAAGTTTAAGAGTAAACACGTGTTACAATACCTCAATATTGATATATTCATGTATGTAGGTTGGGACAATTTAACTTATGACAGTTGTTACTTTGTTACAGAATGGTCTGAAAGATGTCACCATGGTATCCCCCTTAGTAGTACAACCGATTACAAGGTGGCCTTTCTATGCCTTCTTAGGTGGAGCCATGTTCTGCTTGCTAGCCAGCAGCACATGCCACCTACTCGCATGCCACTCACAACGCCTTTCCTACATCATGCTCAGAATTGACTATGCTGGAATCGCTGCATTGATTGCAACTTCATTTTACCCTCCTGTGTATTACTCATTCATGTGCAACCCTTTTTTCTGCTTCCTCTACTTAGGCTTCATAACACTAATGGGGATAGCCACTATTATTTTCTCCCTTCTCCCATTCTTCCAAAAGTCTGAGTTCAGGAAGTACCGTGCTTCCCTCTTCTTTTTAATGGGATTTTCGGGCGTGGCACCCATAATACATAAGCTGATACTGCACAAGAATCAACCTGAGGCATTGCAGACTACAGGGTATGAGATATTAATGGGAGTTCTTTATGCTTTGGGAGCTATAATCTATGTTACAAGGATACCAGAGAGGTGGATGCCTGGGAAGTTTGATATTGCTGGCCACAGTCACCAACTTTTTCATGTCTTGGTTGTGGCAGGAGCATACACACACTATCGTGATGGGTTAATCTACTTAAGATGGAGAGATTCTCAAGGTTGTTAGGTTGATACTACTGAATCTTCTGCATAGCTAAGCTTCTAGTCTTTCTTTCTGTTGGCCATCAATATTAACTTAGGCGTCAAATGGATGAAAAATGAATCAACTCAAGCAAATGATACCCTACTACATTGTTTTTTGTTGTGTTGGATGTTTGAACATACAAGCCAAGGTACAGCCAAGGGGTGGTGTCACGTTTATGTCATTATGGAAGCCCAAGTTTGTGACATTTTACGTATACCCATTCATGCATGTTATTAATATTGGTGGAACTCGCAGAATATCAGTGTGTTTGGTTTGGTGGTACAAAACCACCAAGTATTTGTTGCTTCCAAAATTGTGGTGAGTTTAATTCACTACTGATCCAATCACACACTAAATTTTCCCATAATCAGGTTAGTTGATTTTTTGATGATCTTTCTCCTTTCATGATGCATGTGTTTGATCTAGCCACTTCTCATTTTTTTCAACAGAGATTCACTTTGTATTTCGTTGGATCGCGCGATGGGTTCGAACTAGATTAACTGATTAATGTTGTTAACTAATTAGTGTCGGGTTTGCATGATGAACAACTATTGCGTGTTGATGTATATAATATAGCAATCGCGTTGAGCGCTGACACGTCTTTAGGAAAGAAATTAATTTATATATGTCCTTTGTTGTGTCATTTGTGCTTACTATGCTTATCAGTGCGTTATATGAATCCTTGAGATGAGAAATAAAACACCTCACATTAGACTATTAAAAAACAAAAATCTCATACTTGACAACTAAAAGAAGGTGGAGTTCAAAACTTATGTATCATAATAAATAAAAAATGTTTTGTTCAAAATATATTACGACAATAATAATAAATAAAAAAGTTAAATATATCATGAAGTCCTTAAAATTCTTAGGAAATTTTAATTACGTGATAAACTAAAAAAAAATTAAAATTAAATTATTGATCTTAGACAATTTGTTATTGAGTCTTTGGTATTAATAAGCTTGCTACAATTATTATTTTTCTGATAAGTTCGAGCCGTAATAAACTAAGTCTTGCAAGTCATTTAACTTGCAACTCTCCGACGCAAAAAGTACATGTACTATAATAAAGATCTTTGCAATACGATACATTTGAATTCTAAATACAAAGTAAAAATAGACATCATAAGTTATTGGTCAGTTCAAAATTAAGCTTGGAAGTTAACTACTATGAATTGAGTTGTCATTTATTAGAAATTCATGCGGATGTTACATTCTTATTGTTATTATGTACTGCCTCATACACCTTAATTTTAAATGTCACTTTGTTACAATTAATTGTGACGTAACGTGTATTTTTTTTTTATATCAATTTTACCTATATTATTTTTTATTAAATTTTACATATTTTTTACTTTACAATTTCATAGTCTTATAGAATTACATATTCTCTCAACTTCTCAGGAAAGGGGTCAACATTGTGTAAAGGACATTTACGTTTTTCAATCTTTTAGCACAAGTTTCCATACATTAATTCCTCTTATACTTGGAAATATTGACATGCATCTTAATTGTGCCAAAGTGTATTTTGTCAAGGTGTTGCTCCAAAGCCTAGTCATCCTGTATGTTAAATAACTTAACAAATTCGTATCTTTGACCCCATTTATTCCTTGTATTCACAATGAAGACCTCCCATACCTTACCCACAGATCCAGTTCTTTGTATACCTTCGGAAACCTTGCAAAGAAGAACGTAGAGATCCTATCAATAGGCTTATTTTCCATAGCCCTTACCTTCTTCCCTTTCATTGATAAATATAAGTCGCAAGAAGCCAAGAACTCGCTCACCATAGGCGTGAAACAAGATACTATCAGACCACCAAATCCAATACATTGTGTGGGATGCTAATGGATAACCACTTCCACCATTTCCAATTACTCTATCACTCACGCATACGTTAATTATTCATGCTATCAGACCTCAATCTTTACACATGAAGAAAAAAAACATTTCACAGGCTAGATACTTATAAAAATGTAAAAACAAATAAATATTATATTTGAATATTAAATTATATTTAAATTTTATATAAAAATATTTTTAAATATATATTATATTATAGATTTAAGATGAATAATTTATAATGTGGTGCAAATTATTTTTAATCATCAATGATTTATTTAAAATATTAAAATTTAACTTATAAATAAATATGATAGATAAAAAATTTGAATTAGATAAAAAAGTTATAAAAATTCCTACACACATTTTTATCAAAAAATAATTTTAAAAATATTTTCGTGTAAAACAGTAATTCTTATTTAATATATAAAGGTTGATTTAAAAAAATAAAATTATTTCATTAAACTTTATTTTTGACTTCTTTTCCATGGTCAAAATTTGAGATTCAAATATAAATTTTGGAGGATTTGTAAGAGATTTTCTTACCAAACTAATCAATCCGTCAACCAAAAATCTACTTTGTTAGCATATTAAGGTATTCAAAAAAATTTATTTTGTTTCTTTTACCAAATTAATTGACATCACTTGTTATTATAGTATATTTATTTCTTTTTCCTAATTCATCTTTTTTAAATTTCAATAATCTCAAACAGTCATTTTTTAATTACTATTGATTTTTTCATTTAAAAAAAAAGCGGATATAATTTTTTTTATAATCTCAATTGACCAAAAAATACACTTAAATTAAAGGCTTATTTTCGATCCTATAAATTAGAGTCATAAACAAAGTTCAAACATTATACCAACATTTTTAACTCTATCTCGAAAACACTTGAATAGAGTAATGGTCAAAGTCCTGATATTATTCTTTCTTTTTGTGAGCTCTTTTGTTGTATTTGCCCAAGAGTCTGAAACTTTTCTACACACTACTAATGTTTCCCCAATTGAGCCTCTAACACATAATCATCATCGTCACCATTCTCCATCTCATGCTCCTATTCCTTTAACAAGGGCACCATTCCACCTTCCCACCCATAAACCAGTTCAGCCTCCACATCACATTAATCATTCTCCAGTTCATCATGATCTTATTCCTTCAACAAAGACACTTCCCCACCAACCAGCCCACGCTCCACATCATAATCACCACCACCATCACCACCACTCTTTGACTCCTTCTCTTCCTCCTAATAAGAAAACTCTAGTTCATGAAGATCATACTCACCCATCAGCACACCCTATACACCACTACCATCATCATCACCATCATCACCTTTCCCCTACTCCTACCCCTGTTGGGAGGGTTATAGTTGAAGATCACATTCATCCACCAACTCACTCTTCTCACCATCTCCATCATCGTCATCATTACCATGATCAACACCACCGCCACTCTCCGGCTCCTGCTCCTGTGCATCATCATATTCACCCACCAACTCATGTGCCACACCATCATCACTCTTCACCTCCTACTCCGACTCCTCTTTTGGATTAGAAAGATCTTTGATATTGTAGTCACCACTCACATCCTCACACCATCTTCATTGTCATTACTATCACCACCATTCATACTTATGTTTTCGTCTAGAAAATCACATTCAAAGCTTTGGACACACTTAAAAAAAGAAATAACCCTCCATAAAATTTTACCTTATTATGTTATATGAAACAATGTCATTTCAATGTATTTTTCATTATCTAGTGTTTGAGAGGGTTATTTGTCCTTAAAGTGGTATCAACGTAAATCTATGCTCATATTACATACAATAATAATGTTTGCAATACATTTTGATTGAAATTAAGAAGTTAATGTGTCAAATATTATTGTCCTAGCTTCAATTACTAATTCTGTAATTTATTTTAAAAAGTTAATTGTCAAAATAAACTTTATCCATTATAAAATGATATAAATGTGTTAAATGTAGGTGTTAAAATAATTAAATTTAAATTATACTTAATAAAATACAGTATTCGAGATAAATTCCTTTTTTTTCTTCTTTTTTTACGTATAACTAATTAATTTTTTAAATATATATACAAATGAAAGGTAAAACATTTTCTTTTCAAATAATACATGAACTTGGTTACCATCGACAAATCTAAAGTGTAACATCACCCATATAGTGTTCTTTAATTTTTTTTTTAATTAAAATTACAATATCACCTTGATACTCGCGCAATAAAGGTTAGTAACTTAGTATCAGCGAGGATTACCAGTGTAAAATTCAAATTTTGGTCAAACAATTACACTTAAAAAACCTATTTTTTTTTTTTTTTATGATTTATACTTTTGCTGTTGATTGACAGCCTTATTTATTGATACTTTTAAGTCTTAAAATTTTATATAGTAATTTTTTTTAATCAAATCATCAATTGTATGTTTGTTTTGTGCGCTTGTTTAATTTGATTATCAAAAATGTTTATTCTAATAGTTTTCAAATAAAATGAATCTTAACGACAGCTCTCTTTCTTTTTTACTCTCATTTTTTTTATTTGTTACATGAAAACCTGATTGTTTGCGATACCTTCAAAAAAAAATTCAAAAGATCTATAAAAATATATCTCTAAAAAATACTTTTTGAAAAAGATAGAGTTTGGTTGGTTGGAGCTAGAGCTGTCAAAACGGGCCAGCCCGGCCCATGTGGGCCGGCCCACTTTAGCCCACCTAAAAAACGGGCCAACCCAACCCGGCCCACTTTATATTTTTTCAGAATTTTTATGGCCCGGCCCGGCCCACCACGGGTTGGTGGGTCAAACGGGCCAGCCCACCAACCCACCAAAAAAAAAATTAAAATTTCAAATAACATAATTATCATAAAATTAACATTATTAATACTCATAAATCATAACTCATCATATAAAATTAAATACAAACCATGCTAAAAGTCCAAATAAAAAATATCAATGTTCCATCATATAAAATTAACTACAAACCATAATCAAAGTTCAACTCCAAAATAAAAAGTTTCAATGTCTCATCATACAAAATTAACTACAAACCATAATCAAACTCCAAACTTCAAAATAAAAAGCTTCAATTTTTTATCATACGAAAGTCTTGCAAAATAAACTTAATTAGAATCTTGCATGGAAATGTCAATAACAATTTCTTCTCTTTGCACATCCATTTTATCTCCATCTACAAATAGGGAAAAAAAGTGTTAGGATGAGTTATTGTAAAAATAAATAAGAAAATTTTCATTATAAAAATTACCTAATTCTTCAAAACCATGTAACCAATTTTGAGTTAGAATAAGTAACTCTACATTTTCAGGAAGAATGGTAGAGCGATACTTAGTTAGCACTCGAGACCCAAGACTAAAAGCAGATTCACTAGCAACTGTAGTGATTGGAATACTCAGCACATCACAAGCCATCCGAGAGAGGTTTGGATAACGATCATGACGATCCCTCCAATAAGCTAACACATCTAACTTTTCATGAAACTTTGGATCAAGATTTCCTTCCTCCAAATATAGATCCAATTCAGATTTTCCATTAGCAGTAGCATTTTGGCTCAAATAATCAACATATTCCTAAGAGATTACAAAGAAAAATAAATTCAATATTCATTATTCAATGATAATTACTAAATAAAAATGAAATTAAATAAAGTACTTAAAAAAATTATTAACTTACATCAAAGGTATCAAGTACTTGCTCATCATCTGTATATGAAATTGGTTGTGGTGGAAGAAGAGACACATTAGAAGTTGAAGCATTTGACTCATTTGATTTTACTTTTTCATACTCTTCAAACAGTTCATAAATTTTCTTTCTTAAAGCACTAATTTTCTCTTCAGAAGTTGAAGGCTCAATTTTTCTATAAGCAAACTGAATAGCTCCAAACTTCATTCGTGGGTCAAGAATAGCACCAATGGCAAGAATCTCACAATAATCATGCCAATACTTTGAAAACTTAGTCATCATTTTTGAAGCCATCTCTTTAATCACTAGATCTTCACACATAACAAATTCACGCAACAATTTTTCAATTTTCCAAACTTGCATAAAGTACCGATTAGATGTTGGATAAGTGGAGCCTGATATCAAATTTGTCATGACAAAAAAAGGCTTCAAGAACTCGCACATTCTTGCAGCCCTATTCCACTCATCATCTGATGGGCAATGAACATAATTCCTATCTCGAATAGCCAAACAACCAAATGCACGTTTGTATTTAATTGCACTATCAAGCATAACATAAGTGGAATTCCATCTAGTGGGCACATCCATTCTCAAACCCACCTTAGTATCAATACCCCTCACTTGAAGCACACATTCTTTAAAAGCAATCTTTCTAGCTTCCGATCCTCTTACATATTTTATACTCTCTCTAATTTTTTTCAAAGCACCACTAGCCACCCCCAAACCCTCTTGAACAATGAGGTTTAGTATATGTGCACTACATCTCACA